ACAAACAAACAAACAAACAAACAAACAAACAAACAAACAAACAAACAAACAAACAAACAAACATGCAGACAGATAAAAGACAAAGAGAAAAAAACCCAACATGAAAAAGAAACAAAACCTGGAACTTGGGATAAATACATCTTTCACCAGTGTCTTGCTAACCTCTACGATGCACAAGTGGTTAGCCATCACCTGTTTGTCATTCACCAGCCTGAAGGAAATTTTGTAATTGATCAACTGAATGTTAAATGCAGTTTTTTTATTTTTTATGCTTTCCGATGCAGCCTCAATTTAAAACAATGAATGTGAGATGGTGTGTGTTTCTGCTATAGCATAAACAAAAGCTGGTTATGTTCTGACCTCTGTCGTAAAAGTTACCACCTTCAGGGGGACCAGGAAGAGATGTAAATGAAGAACAATTCAGTATAGAGGTCAGAAAGAAGTCTTTTTAGTTTTGCAGAGTCTCTGTTTAGAACAGCCTGGAACAGTCTGGGCTGCTGTGTTTTTTGTTTGGGTTTCAGAGATGATGGCCTTTTTATGCTGAGGCCTGTGCTGTGCACTGCTGTGAAACTGACTGGAGTCAGAAACAGGAAAAAAGTTTTGAGAAGAAATCCAAGTGGGTTCCTGCTATTATTCAGACTTACATTTTTGAACAGCGCTTTTCTACAAGTCTCTCATTCACCATCAACCCAGGTGGAGTTTCACAGAGATTTTCAAGTAAGGTATTTGGTTGATACAATCCATATCTCATTACAGTGCCAATAGTTTGCTTCATTAAAGAGACATGCGAGGCAAACAAACAAACAAACAAAACAAAAAAAGAAATTCAATACAATACCTCCTCTTAGTGAAGCCTTTAATCTCAATTTGATGCCATTCAGTATGAGTTAATATTAGGCTCGCTCAGTATTACAAGAAACCGAAGGGGTGGACCAGTGTCAGCCCAAGATTGTACGGGCTCCTACAAAAAAATATTTTGAGGCCTCTTTTCAGTCAAGCCCATCTCACTCGCCATCATTGTCCCWCTAATATTTGGTTATATGCTTGGGGTCTGGGGTTTTTGAAATCAGTAACTCCTTCCTTGTGGCTCCCAAGTGTTATCTTATTAACAAAAMAATCAATATAACCTTAGACTTTTTAATTTTCTTCTAAAAAAGCATTTTTGCAGCTATACTGATATTTTAATCTTCATGTCCTTTAACCCTGAGGTGTACAGCTGAKTCTTGTCAAGAGCAGCTCTCCTGTGTTGAGCCATGTGTCTGTGGAGACACTGTTGAGATTCTTCAATACAGAGATCAGAATGATCCAGACACCACAC